CGCACATGCGCATCTCTCTCCAAAGGTGTTTACTCTCTGGAACCCTCGTCGCCAGTTCCGCTTGCTTTTGCAGCTCGATGTTACCCATGAGGCCCAAAGCAAAGGAACCAGACATTCCACATTGACTCAAATAATTCCATCTTCTGAGTGTAACGTTCTGGCACCTCTGCCATCTCCCTATTTGTTCCAGTTTTCATCACACCCCGTGATGCTGAGTGGCAAGATGGAGAACAGAACGCTTCTTGTCGCCTAACTGCCTGCCTACCGCGAGCCTGCGGATATGGAGCGCAGAGTGTCTGTAGCTCAACAAAACTGCCGTTCAGGGATTTCATTCTCTTTCATAAATGAGAGGCAGAAACGGTTTTGTGGTTTATTTTGGTGAAGGGACACCTTAGAAAACAACACAAGGAAAATTCCTAATGACAGTTATTGTTAGTGAACTTTACATTTCTGCCCGATTAAGGGAGTCACGAAAAAAATCCCACATAAAACCTTCAAAATACGTCTCACTGTATCTTCCCCAAGTAGTGACTAGGGGAAAGAAAAATGACGTTACTGACTGTCGAGCCACGTGACTTTCAATTACTTAGCAATTTGACTCTTCTGAAGGCAGGCCATGGTGTACCTAAAAACCCCAAGACGGTAATGCTAAATACTTTTCATTTCTTAGGAGGATGCAGACACATTCACGGCCGGGAGCTGGGATGTCTGTGCACAGGCCGTGTAGCATAGCTGTGCTTTCTCTCTCCTCACGAAAGACAACTGTCCCGAGACTGGGGAGAGAGCCCTTCCATACCATGTCTGCTCTACGCAGGCCAGACTTACTGGACTTTGGGATTCTGAGATAATTACCCCTTGCCAAACATACTTCTCTGAATTATTCCATAAAACGCACTTGATAAATGGTTTTATCAAGGCCATTGTGTCTTGGAGAACTTAAATTAGTCCCAGATGAGTTTCTTTCCAGTTAAAATAGATTTAAATAGAATGTAAGTGTAAAGCTGCTTCCATTTTAACGGCTGGAGCCCATTCTGGCAGTAAGTGTACCCACCTTCTTTATGCATTTATGACTTTTGTGTTTGTTGGAAACGAGTGAGCTCTCAGGTGGCTGCATCTACTTATATTTATGACTTTTGTATTTGTTGGACGCAAACGAGTTCTCGGTTTCCTTTCTGTAAAAGAAAATGAGAGCAGCTACTTCCTAAGACTCTGAGGTGGTTAAAGGGGAGACAGACACTGAGCTGGGCACTCGGGGATGTTTCTTAACCGCCCAGTTTCATTTCTTCGCTTCTGCAGGCTCACGCGGTGTGCGGAGGAGTGGATCTAACTGTACTTGGTTCTGTTTGCTTTCAAATGAGCACACATTGGAAAGCAATGGATTTCAACAACAACTCAGAACTAACTGTGTGTATGCTTCTTAGACTTTTAGCATTTACCTGAGGTATAATAATGACTAGACTAATGTTCAAGATTTGATCCCAGAACCACGAAATAAAGAAAAAACAAACCAAACCAAACCAAAAAATCAAAAAACCCCCCAAAACCCCAAAAACGAACCAAACCAAAAAACAAAAACAAAACAAAACAAAAAAACAAAGAAAACTTGGTTTACTCTGAGGTGCCTCTGCTTTTTCGTTCTTACTCCTCATTCCTTCTTGATTCCTCAGTTGTGTAGTTTTGCAGAACTCTTCACTGTCCTGGTACAGACGCCAGGGTTCCTTGTATTGTGTACCCCCCTCCATGGCACCTGCCTTCCTGTTTCCATTCCTAGTGACTTCATTCTTCCTTTATGGCTCTTTCCAAATTTTGTTTTATCTATAAAATCCCTTCCAATTCCCTTAACACAAAAATAACATTAAATGACATTAAAAAAAAAATAGGATTTCCCATTTCAAATTGGGGTAATGCACAAAAGCTGGCAAGGTTGCAGAGATCGGTCTCCTGCACCCCTGAGCCGGCTTCCTCTAGTGTTCACACCTTAGGAGGGTGTATTTGCCGAAACTCAGAACAAGCAGCTCGTATAAAGGCTGGACGCTCAGGAAACATCACTGAAGAGGAGCCGGCTGTGCAGACCCTGCCGTGAGTGGTGGGTATTTCCCCACGTGATCCCGTCCTTCCCTGAGTATCTACAGGCAGTTGTTCTGGCTCCTGGGAGAAGAGCAGTACATTTTCTTCAGTGGTAGAACCACTGTTTGGGGCCACACATTTGTAAATGAGCTCCATCTAGTCAATCCAATATATGTTAAGAAACCCAAATAAACACATTGGGGTCACCAGAACAAGAGGATGAAAAGAAAGAGGGAGGAGGAGAAGAAGAAGAAGAAGCTGAAATATGAAAAGAAAATTAAAAAGTGAAAATAAAGGACTCTCTGGGAAGAGGGGAGAAGCAGCCATGGACGGGGAACAAGAGAGCTGTGGGGTGAATATGATCCAAACATATTTATGCCCATAGGGATGTGTCATAGTGAAACCAGTATTATTTATACTTAATACATGAATTAAAAACTACATGTTTTTTTTTTTTAAATTGAGCACTTTCCATTTGTATTATAACTGCCTGCGGACTGTAAACACCTTGAAGCCAGGACCTCGTGGTCCCACACTTAGCTTCTCTATAACACGCCCAGGTGTTTGCTTACTGCAGATCACAGGGTGGACCCTAAACTGACGGCCCCCATCGCCTACCTCAACCAAATCCCATTTGGTTTTTCCTTTTTGTTTTTTTAGCCATACTTATTAAAGTCAGACAAATATATAGAAAAATATGCCTATAAATAAACCCGATGAATTGTGACAGAATGGAAAGTACCACCCCGTTCTTCAAATAGAAGGACTTCCTGCCCTGCAGCAGCCCCCAGAGCCCCTCCCGGTAACTACTGCCCTTCGTCTGGACTTCTCGTCCTGTCCTCACTTTCATTTTAATAACAGGACTCTGTTGTTGCGGTGATAGTTATAACGTAAACCACGTTTGCACTGTAATTATATCCAGACAAAGTGGCATGGGTCTATTAAAAAAAAAAAAAAAGAGTTCTGATTAAGGCAAGTGCCCAGCAGTAGATGTTCCAGCTACCAAACAATGCCCATTGTCCGCATAGCTTCTGTAGCTTCTGCGTTGAGGCTCGCCTTGTGGTTGGGTGTACCCGCTTCGGATTGAGGGCATTTCCAGTCCTGACAACAGCAGGCCAGTGTAGGGGGTAGGACAGAAGCCATTTTTGTTTCTGTTCCCTTAGAAACACGCGGAACAAAATAAAGTTTGCCAAATGGAAATATACAAAACCACTGAGGAAATAAATGTTATTTTTAAGTTTCTAAGAAGGGAGGAGAAGTGGAAAGAATTCAAAAACCCGGTGACCTTTAACAGGACAACACAGCAGGGTCAGCAAGTGTCTAGAGAAGGCTGTGTCCAGGGGGAAGGGTGCGGGGAGCTGAGGCCTGGAGAAGCTGACCTCATTGGTCACGATGAGGATGGAGTTGGCTTCCCTTCAATCTCGAGTGAGTGGCAAGAAGGATACCATCTTTCAGAAACGGGAACAGTCGGTGAGAATCCTCGTCACTAAAGGGAGCGGGCATCAAAAGGCCAAGGCCGAGTCTTCGCTCTCAGGCACTGTGACTTTCCGTCTAGAAGGAGGTCACAGACGAGGGTCAAGTGAACTAAGAGGATGATGGTTACAATGCCAGAAAGAGAGAGGGCTGCTAGTCACCCCGTCTGGGACTGGGAAGAGAGCGACACCATGGCCGTCTTCTTCCTTAGGACTCTTATGTCATTGTTACATGAGTAGGTCTCACATGGCTCAGGAACTGACGGGGGCATTGACAATGAAACCTACCAGCTCCGTTTTAAATCTAGGCAGAGAGTGTATGCAGTTGGCCAGCCAACCTTCCTCACAGGATAGTATTGAGGACAGCAGTTCAGTTGAAGACAATCTTTGTGACATGTTGTCTCTCATAAAGAGAAAGTCACCCCATGGCAAACATGGGCCAAGTCAGGTCTTCCTGCTGAAGCTTTGGTCACAGATGCCACTCCCAGACAGCCAGCACCCACAATGGCTCGATACCAACACAATGAACAGGAGTGCAAGCCCTTTGCTAACGAGGGGAGCTACCGACAGAGTGTCTAAGAACGTCCTGACTAAAGGCCGCAGGGGGCTGAATCGATCCTCCAGCCTCCAGTCTTTCCCCCACCACTCTCTCCTGTACGGCCACTTTCCATCATGTTCGTTTTCAGGAGACAGGAGCCCGGGCAGGGACTCAGAGAGACATTTCAAATGATTCATGACCTGGAATCTAGCAGAAACTTAATCCAACTGTTTCCCAACATGGGATGAGGGCTTCAAGGGCAGCAGCTGCACTGTTCAGTGCTCCTCTCTGCTCACTTAGGCTAGTTCTTACGACCGTACTTCAGTTCTTTCAGTAAAAGAAACAAGTACCATTCCTACAAATAACCCTGGGGCTTGTGACCAAGGGAATACTGAGTGTTTGTCACCAGTGTTCCAAAAACTACTAGTCATTTCTTTTCTCGGAGAGTTGTCCACTGAAGACCATGTCTGGCCCTCTCCCCTGGTCCCTTCCCTGTGGTAAAACTCTCCATCTCCAACGTAGGCCCAGGGCCTAGATCATAGACGTGGGAGCTATCCTAAAGAACCCACCCCTGTTCTGCTTCCCTTCTGTCTGCAATGTGGAAAAGAGCAGAGGTTTTTCAAGTTTCAGTAACTCCACCACCTGCAGGGTGACAGGCTATTGGGTGTGCATACTTCCTGAGCCCTCAAACACAGGCCAACGGGGAGAGGGATAAAAAAAAAGATTTTTTTATTCGGTGCTTAGTAACTACAGCACACCGGAAACGAGAGAATAGGGGATGCCCCATACAGAAATAACATTTAAGTATTGATGGCACATCAATTAACACGACTCTAAAAGCTTTATAGCAACATTTTATAAAAATTCACATTTTTGCTAACAAGCAAACAAACACAATAAAACAAAACTCATAAAAGGTCCGTAGCTGAGCAATATTAAAAACCTAAAAATTTGTTGCAGAGGGAAAGAAGAGAGACTGGAAAGGAATATATCGAAGTTGACAGATTGTTACTTTGTAGAAAAGGGCTTTGAATGATTATGTAAGGTTCCCCCTTTGAAACTGTTTTCTTTGAGACACCTCAGCCCAAACCCAGGGCTTTGCCCCCTCAGGCAGGCTCTACTCCTGAGATAACTCCTGATAGTTCACCTTTAAAAGGCCCCATGTTCTAATTTTACAATTACGACGGGAAAGAATTTTGTATGTGACCAGTCAGCAGAAGCAAACAAGGGCACTGTGGGTAGACCAGGCTGTGGTCTTGTGGGCCTGGGTGTGACCGTCCTGGGGAGGCATCAAAGACCTGGCTGAGGTGTCTCTAGCAGAGATGACGTCGCCCTAAGAAGGACAGAAAGTGCAGATTAATCAGGAATCAGAACCAATCTCTGGAAAGTAGGGCACGGTAAGGTTCCAGGGTGTCCCAGAAGTGATAGATGGCCATCAGCCTCTGGACCCTGCCCCGCGCCCACGTTATGCGCATGCGCAACAGGAAGCAGTCCTTCTCCGGGCTGAGCTGGTTCATTCCATACAGGCTGTAGTCACATCTACTAGCTGTGCTCTTAAAGATGGGTATCACCACTGTGGGGAGACAGTTGCTTGGCTGAGGCCTACTCCGCTACTAGAGCCAAAATGGGTAAATCAGATCCTGGACCACTCTTAAGTCACTTGGAGGGAGAGGCTACGGTTCTCAAGTATAGGGTTTTACAGCTAGGAGATTTAATGAGATCTGTACCATAGGCACAAGTCATTCGTGATTTTTTTTATTAAAATCATTTTAACGATTTCATTTCGTTAGAACACAACAATCCGTAGCTTTGGGGGCTAGCGGGGATGTTTTTTGAACATGCAGGCCATGCTGGAGACTCACTTTCCCGACTGTCCTTGAGAGGAGAAACCAGGGAACCTGAGGAAGATGGGACCATGAAGACCACAGGAAAGAGAGAATGGGCTTGGGAGAGATTATGAAGCTATGCTGAACTAACCTTGCATAAAGTTCAGAGACGGAATCTGCTTAAAGGCTGTGTGCTCCAGAAGGGTGTTTGAATCTCCTGAAAGAGATGCATGCTCATGTTTGGAACGTTTATGTTGTTGTTTCTAAATCTAAGGATTCTGGGTGAGGCTAGATCTAGTTTTCAGTTGAGCAGACAGGAAGAACAACTTCAGCGTGTAAAGTAGGAAGTCACTGGACTCTGTCTGGAGAGCCCGGGGAGCTGCAGATCCGAGTGCGGGGCTTGGGCTTGCCTTCAGAAATTTTTCTCTGGTAGCTGATTGCGACACTAACTTGCTCGGGTCCCCCTCAGTCTCCTGGTGCCCATCTGTGTCGTCTTGTTGTTAGCTGGATATTATTGTCAACCGTAGACCACTGTTCACAGTCCTGGAGTGGTCAGGATGTAGCAAAGAACCTGTGGCCTGGGGATGTTTAGGCCCATGAGGGCAGAGTAGACATCTCTCAACAATATGGCCCCCTGCCACTGCCCTGCTCCTTTGTTTCAACCACATCAAGGCTTTCCCCACAATCTTCTTTCTATTTTCTTTCCTCTTTCCTTTCTCTTATAAAACAAAGGCCCCACTAGGGTTACCAGCACAGTAAGTACTCTGGCGTGTGAGACTGCCTTGGCAGAGAGCACTCCTTTTATCTGCGTTTTGATCAGTGTTGAGTCTCCGGCCTTTAAATCTTTTGAACTCTTATCCATTGTTCCAGACAAGCTGCTGCTGATTCTACAACCCCATGTTCTCTCTTGATTGTATTACTTTGGCTCCACTATGATGTCCTTGTTCTCTCCTGGGCTAACGGGGTGAGGTGTGGGACAAAGGGGTTCAGAAGCCATAATCAGCAGCTTGATGCTCTGTGAGCTGTTGGAAGCCCGTGGTGACTGTTATCAAAAATTCACCAGTTCCAGGATAACTGGCAAAGGTATGTGGTTCAGGGAGGACAATCCAGCTCTAAAGCACTGGAGGAACAAACTGGGGGCTGCTCTCAGCAGGGTTTCCCAGCCTGGGGTCATCAGGATGGCCAAGAACCTTTAGAGAATGGGGTCCCCCAGCTTGGGCAGCAGCCACCCCCCCCCCCACAAGCTTCTGTGTGATTCTCCACCAGCTGAGGCAGCACCTCTGGCTTATGGCCTTGGTTACCTAATATCAGGCACAACAGCTGGCTTAGGCAACACAGTGATTCTCCTGGGATGGATCTGCTGATAAGAACTTCTCAGGTTCTGAGAAACACTTGGCCCAGCTTTCCACAATTCTGGCTTTGCTGTTGTGGGTGACCTTAAGATTCGACTCAGAGTTGAAGGGCTCTTCAAAGCAGACCTACGTTCCTGATCTCTTCAGTGACCAGGAAGAAGAAGGTGCTGAAGCCTCGCAAAAGGATTTGGGCTCAGGTCCATGATGAAGGGAGACAAGGAAAAGACTCAGGAGACAACTGCACAGCTCTCGCTGAGCCGGCAGTGAGGGGCTGTAAAGTCCTCTTCGAGGAATACAGAGCCTGGCCTTAGCTAGGCGTTCTAACACTTCCGACTAACAAAGAAACCCTAATCATAGCCGTTACTGAATACTAACTAGTACCGTGACCAGCACTTACCAAGCGCTGTCTCACTTGGTTAGAGCTAGCCTTTACACACCCTTGATCTTCTGGGCTAAGAAATATGTCCAGCTTACAGAGGAGGGAACTCCGACTTTAGGTAGATCATTGGGGGATCCAAGCCAGCTGGTGGCACAGACAGAACTTGAACTGTTAATTTTATTTTTATTTCCTTTTGGTTTTTATTCATTTATATGCTTGCTGGGACAGCGAATGAACCAGGGGCGCTGAACATGTTAGACAAGCACTTTGCCCTTTAGACTTTATTTAACTAATTTTATTGTGGGTAGAGAACTCAAACCCCAGAATGTGGCCTCTTTTGATGTCAGAAGACTTTTACAGAGTTATGAAATCCAGAAAGGAGCAGAATACAAACTAAAGAGATGGAGCGGGGGCAGTGACAGCAGCTGGGGGGAATGAATGGCAATAGTGTTAGAAAAAATAGTGTCAAAGAGCAATGGGTTCTAAAACCTTCCGTCTATGGAGTTGCTCATGGACTGAGCTCCTCATCAGCCTCTCACATCTATCCCCACCCGGAGAGGGTTCTGTTGGGGCATAATAAAACAAAGTGGGGGAGTGAGAGGGTGGCTATTAAAATCACATTTTATTAAGTAACCATTCCTAACCCTCCAGAATATCCAAAATGAAGCCAGTGCTTACTGTCAGGACAACATCTCACTTCAGCAGTGTCTGGGACGTGTTTACCAGTTGGTTTTGAGGAGACTGGCAATGACTTATGGGCCTTGTTGTCCTTGTAACACGGACTTGAGGGTTCGGTGAAGGAAGAGTAGAGGAAATGACAAAGCACCCTTTGGGGGAATGATGGCAGGAACCTACGTATGAAAATAATCACACCTTGGGGACCTCGGAGGATCTGTAAACACGACCCATTACTCACCAGTTGTAAAATCTCCCAGCATTAATCCGCCTTGGCAGAGGGAAGGACATTACCAAATGACTGCATTGCCTGCTGGCTTCTCCCAGACTCCTGGCTGGACAAGCAAATGAGTATCCACTCTGGAAGATGGAACTGTTTCCTGTTGGGCCCATCTCACGGAGGTCCTGCAGGCGAATCAACCAGGATTTGAAATTTTATTTTTTTACTTTTTTTGTTGTTGTTGAACCACTCCAACAAATCCTGGAGCGTCTGAGTCCTTTCTTGGAAGCAATTTTCTTAAGCGTTAACTATACACGTGTTGGGTCTGTGATCGCCAGAGCCACTTTGACGCTGTAGCAACTTTAAAAAGTGCTGGGAATGCCGGACCTTGCCTTTCTTATGTGGGCTCAGAAGAGTGAGAACTTACTGTGCTCTTGAAGGTTTGAGCATTTGTAGACTCAGTACTTTATCTTTAGTATGGAAAGTCAGAAGGAGAACAAAACAAAACCTTTCTTTCTTTCTTGTGGGGATAAGACCTTAATTACCAATAGCCAGGAAAATACAGACTAAGAGGCAAAGAAGGCAGACATCCAGAAGCCAGAAGACTTTGGCTAATGCAGAGTTTTGAAAGGGCTTCCTCCTCTTCACGTGGTTCTTGATGGGATTGTTGAGAAACAGAAAATTCTGTTACTAACAAACAGGTCTGGGAGATATTGACCGTTTGGGGCATTCAAGGAGTTAGGGTGTAGAAATAAGGAATGGCAGGCTGTATTCCAGCCCTTATCCCAGCTAGCTTACCCCTGAAATAATTACACGGAAACTGTACTCTTTTAAAACACTGCTTGGCTCATTATCTGTAGCCTCTTATTGGCTAACTCTCACATCTTGACTAACCCATATCTAATAATCTGTATGTCACCACGAGGTCGTGGCTTACAGGCCATGAGTCTAGCCAGCGTCCATCTTGGGAAGGGGAATCATGGCGTCTACCTCACTTCCAGGCCATGAGTCTAGCCAGCGTCCATCTTGGGAAGGGGAATCATGGCGTCTACCTCACTTCCCTTCTTCCCAGTATTCTGTTCTATCTACTCCACCTATGCTCTGACCTACTAGGCCAAGCAGTTTCTTTATTAATTAGCCAATGAAAGCAACAGAAATACATAAGCCTCTCCTACATCATTTCCTTTTTTTCTGTTTAAACAAAAAATTAGGGTACCCTCCTAACCCATAACTAGCACTTGTTAGCACAAAAGATATTTGCTCTGGAGAGGAGACATCCCCCCCACCCAATACACACACACTGGGCATACAGAGTGGGGCTCCCCCAGTTGCCACAGGCAGGTGATGGACCATATCAGAATGTTTCCAAGGATATTCCAAGGATATATATACTGGTATATACAGTGATATACCAGTCAGTAGGCTGTGATGACCGAAGACTATTACCAGCCTATAGAAGAGGCATATTCATTACTCATATTCCACAGGGTTGGGGAGAATGCCTTTGCTCCTCATTTTGTTGGGTGGCCATTGGCTAGCAAGCTTGGTAAAGAATTCTCTTCCCCACAGCCCATTAGAAAGTGGCTGCAGTGGGGACGCTGGTCACCGAAGGCTCTGGAGTTCTAGTCTAGTCTGAATTCCCAGGACATTTTCTTTTTTCTTAAAGAACATTGAGCCTCTGCAGGTAAGATAGAGACAGACCAGGTCACGCAGGGCCCATCTGTTAAACACTGGCTCCAGGGCCATGTTGTGGCAGGGACAAAACTCTACTTTCTCAGAGAACTCGAGGGTAACAGAGATCCCAAGCAAACAATGGGACAGGCACTGTCAGACTACAGAGTCCATGAACGCATTCCCAAACGACATGGTACATTCTTAAACTTTCTGATGTCTTGGGAATGGTGCCCCTTTCCAGTTTATACAAAGCACTGTATGGGCTGACAAGTTCCATCAAAAAAAAAAAAAAAGGCATACAATACTCATATGTGATCAATCACCCTAGGGTAGTAGAATCAATTAAGTACCAAAAGAACCATCTGTGGAGGCCTTACCCTTATCAGTACTGTGTTCAGATCAAGGTGGTGACCACTAATGCATTTACATAGACGATAAGAAGATCAATGGAAATCAATTTGCATTGATTTGTTTCAGGACAGAGACATCTATGTTGTGAAAATTCCCAAGGGTTTTCTTTCACAGGCCTCTCCTGCCTTTCCCTCTAGTCCCTCTCTATGCCCCCCGCCCCCCCCCCCCCCCCCCACAGGCATGACAGACACTATTTGATGTGGTTGCTAGAAGGGACCAGAAAGAGACTGGAGAACAGAGACGTGGAGAATAATCACTATCAGATCAAAAGTAAGCAGCTAGTGTATGAGATGTCTGGTAGATTTAAAAAAATGAAGTGACTTAAATGCAAATTTGACTTTCCATTTTGCTACTTTGCTGGTTTTTAAATAGACGTTCTCCCAATGTCTACTGCTCCTCTATCCCTGAGAAAAAGAAGTCCAGGAAAATAAGTTGCTACCAGGACAAATGGAACCAACGTTCTCAAGGGAAAAACAATCCAGTCCTTTTTCTTGTAGTTTGCGCTGCTGAAAGAAGGGCACCTAAGAGAACAAACACTCTAATCGTGGGGTCAGGGTGAGGACATTCCATTGATTAGCTTTTTGAAAAAGTAGCTTGCAATCTGCTAAATCGAGTTCGGATAATAGCGCGGCTATGGGAAGTGTACGTGGAACACCTGAATCACTCTTTGTTTCATAGAAGCCAACCGGTGTTCCATTGATAAATAAGTGACTCGGTCAGCCTTGGGACACCAGGAAAGCCTTATCAAGATCGTTAATTACATTCCCATCATGCACTGGCAGTGTTGGTGAGGGAGTGTTGTAGTGCCTGGGAGAGAACAGACAAGGGTCCTACTCACCTTCGTGGTTTCTCAGGCTGACTGCAGACTCCATGCAGTTTCTGTGAAAAACTCTATCATCCAAGGACACAGTGAATTTGCCTAGGAGCTCATTTCATAAAGGAATCTTTATGGCAATGTGATTCTTAGGTGAAAAAAGACATTAAATCAAGTTTTTACAGTTTGAGAGTCTCATATCCATGTGAGATGTCTCTCATTCTTTAGTTTCTGCCTTACAGCAGCATTTGCCCAGGACCCGTCTTCAGGAAAGTGAAAAACAAAACCAAGAATGAGAACTAGTTGTGGGCAGTTTAATAAAACAAAACAAAACAAAACAAAACAACAACAGAGCAAAAAAACCCAACACAAACCAAACACACAAAACCAATAGGTCCCTGAACTCCTACCCAGACCAGCGGACCTGTCATTCTGGAGTCGGGAAAACAGATGCTGGAAGGATTCCCTACCCTTCATTCTACCCCTCCCCCCGCCGCCCCAGGATGATTCTGTAGCACAGAACTCACATCAGCCCTTACAAGTTCTGTGCTTTTCCAGGGTGTTTGTGGGGTGTGGGTGTGGGAACAATGCACAAACCTTGAACAGAGGGAGCTTAGCCTCTCTGAAAGGCTTTTCCCCTTGCTATTTTTTTAATCTTTATTTTTGGGGACCCGGCTTTGAACCTAGGGCATTGCGCATTTGAGGTAGCTTGAGCTCTATTTCCAACTACGCAAAACCTTGTTTGGCTTTGTTTTTTCTCCGTTGAACAGGCAAGTATTTGGAGAAAATCTCAGTGTGTTTATAAAGGGCGCCCAAATGGCTGTGTGGGCCGATAGGCTTGGAGCTGAAAATGCTGGAAACTGCACATGCACAAAACCACGAATTCCAGAAATGCTCAGGATGCTTTTTAGTAAGCGAGAGCACACCCTGTGTGTTAGCTTTCCCCCACTATGACAAATACCTGAGGTGAATCAATTTGAGGGGGGAAAGTTTATTTTGGCGCATGATTTCAGAAGTTTTGACCCGTGGTCACTTGGCGACATTGTTGTGGGGTATGGTAGCATAGCACGTCATTATGGGAGTATAGCGGTTGCTAACCTCAAACAGGGCAGGAAGGGAAGGAGATAATATCCCCTTCAAGGGCATACCCTCCATGACGTAACTTCCTTCCATTGGGTCTATGCCCTGAACTTCCATTACCTTCATTACGTTCTAGGCTAGGAACCAAGCTATAAACAGTTGGGCCTTTGGGGGACATTAAGATCTAAACTGTAGCACCCTTTCATGGAATCATCATGGTGTTAAGATAAGCTTGATTTTTATCAAATTAGATTTGAAAATCAGATATTTTTTGTAAAATGTCTAACTAAGCCAAGACTCATGATCTCCAAAGTTTTATAAATCAGACTTTTAAAGAACACAGGTAAATACTTATATTCAGCCTTTAATGCCTGCCTATATCTTTCTTCCTTCCTTCTTTCTTTTCTTCTTCCCTTCCTTTTTTTAATTTTTTTTTCAACAGGGTTTCTCTGTGTAGCAGTCCTGGCTGTTCAGGCTGGCCTCTAACTCAGAGATCTGCTTGCATATGCCACATTGCCCAGCCAAACAGGCTTTTTAAATGCTAAACTGTCAAATCAAATAGGCACTGTGCAGTTCCTCACAATCTCCCTGCATCTAATTATGCTTTATATGTCTTAGCTTGCGCTACATACTACACAAAAGGAAATCCCATTAAATGTTGGTTGCACTTTTCACGGGGTATGTCCGTCCTCCCCTCTCCCACCCCGCCCAATAGTGTGAATCTAGCATTCTTGATTCTGTCACGAAATTGAACTTAAAAAGGAAAACAATTTAGGAATCACTCAACTGATGAGGGACCTTAAAGTTGAAGTATCCTCATTCTCCATACCTGCAGACTGAAGGCCTGGTTGTAGCCGCTGAATGGAGGCTTTGGGGGAGGGGTCTTTTGGGGATTCCCTCTTGGTTTGCTCCTGTGGCGAGACTGCCAGCAGCTGCTTTCCCAGGCTTCGTGGTCTCCAGTCTTGGGGTGATGTGATTTTACTCCCTTGTCTAGCCCATCACAACTTCCTGTTCTTTTTCTGTAATGCTTTTCAGATCCGCGTCTTCCTGTTGCCTTCCCAGCATTCTGGTTCAGGCTCTAATTACCTCACACACACCTGCACTCTCCTCCGATCCCCTTTCCTGTCTACAGCTTTTCCTCTGGCTGGTTATTTTTATTCTCTCCACACAGAACTCTCTTCCTGAAGCATCATTTCCACCGCACAC